TTTTTTCCTTTAACTCAAAGAAACATTTATCCTTGAAGTATTTTTCTTCCAGTTGTTGGGACCAAAAACTGTTCGTAGAGTTTAGGATTCTCCAAGTTGACTTTAGCATTAAGGCTTTGTTTATCAAGGAGAGTTTTCTTATTCCCAAGCCTCCCAGGGATTTCGTAGGGCAAATTGTTATCCATTTGAGGTTACAGTTTCTTGATGTGATTGCACTACCAGCCCACTAGAAGTTTTTTTGCATTATATCCAAAGTTCTACATAAGCTTGGGGAGAGGAGATTTGTTTGCATGATGTACACTAGTATGCTCTAGGTAATTGCCTTGACGAGTGTTGTACGACCTGCTTGGGACAAGGTTTTTGCTTGCCAGTGCTCTATCCTTTGGGTGAAGTTGTCTAACAACTGATGATTGTTATGGTTTACACCATTTTCCCCATCTGTAAGCCAGGTTCCCAAGTACTTTGAGCTATAGTTTATGATTTTCATTTTGACTATACAACTTAGCAGTTTTTGGTGAGTTCTATGCATGCTTTTTCTAAACATCACACCTAATTTAGTAGTGTTAACATGCTGCCCTGAGATTTGCTCAAAGAGCTAGATGATGGTTTTTATATGATGGAATGAGTCCGGATCTGCTTTACAAAATAAAAAGCAGTCATCTGCAAAYAGTAGATGGGTGATGGGTTGTGAATTTCTTGAAAGTTTTATTCCTTGGAGCTTTGAGAGATTTTTTTCCCTTTTTACGAGTGTTGAGAGAGTTTACATTCCTATGATGAAGAGGTAAGGTGAAAGGGGGTCTCTTTGTCTTAAACCTCTTTTGGTTTAAAAAATACCCATTGTTGTCCCATTGAGTTTGACTGAGAAGGATGTTGTGGATATACACTACCAGATCAGATCACACCAATCTGAAGGAAAGCTCATTTTTTTCATTGACTCTACTATGAATTTCCAACCCATCCTATCAAAAGCTTTTGCCATATCAATTTTCATGGCTACCCATTTCTTCTTTCCTTTCTGGGTTTTAAGCTTGTGTATGATTTCCTTGGCTAGAATGACATTGTCTGTGATACTCTTCCCTTAATTGAAGGCAACCTGGTTTTCTTGGAYTAGATTTTGGAGGAGTGGCTTCATTCTGTTAGTTAGGACTTTGGTGAGGATTTTGTACAAAATATTGCTTAGGCTTATTGGTCTAAAATGTCCTGCTTTTTCTGCACCCCTCTTTTTTGGTATAAAGACCAGATTGGTGTGATTTAATTTTTTTAGTATTCTCTTTGAGTGAAAGAATCTTTATATCATTCTTGTAACATCATCACCCATGAGGTCCCAACAGCGTTGGAAGAAGAAAGCAGTGTAGCTGTCAGGCCCAAGAGCTTTATGAGGATTCATTTGGAACATAGTTATCTTGACTTCTTCTTTTAGGGGGGTAATATAAGCTTCTGACTTTCCTCTGTTGGTATTTGATTAAAATGGAGTGAGCTTAAGAGGTTTGGGTCAAAGGATTCTTCTCAACCCGAGATTTGAAGGAGATGTGTGAATTGGGTTGCTATGGCTTCAGGTTCAGATATCCATTGGTCTTGGTTATCTTTCAGGCTTTCTATTGCTCCCCATCTCCTTTTGTATTTTGCTCTCTAGTGAAATAATTTGGTGTTTTTGTCACCTTCCTTTAGCCATAATTCTCTAGATTGAGTGGTTGTTCCCCACACCAGATACACAACCATTATGTTCATGTATTCCAATCTCTTGTTTTATTTCTTCTAGGTGATGACTATTGCTATTAGTTTTGGTTCCTCCTTTATGAACATCAGTTGTATCAATTTTGGACCCGATCATGACTCATGAGGCAAGGTTTGTACGTGCAAACTCTAGTATGGTCAAATAGTTTCGTGGTTTGGTAGTTTTGTCTATTAAAGAAAGGTTGTTTTTAGGGGTGAGCAAATGGGTAGGTTCTACCCAGAATCAAATGGAACCGACCCCCACCCAGGTCGGTTCCAAGGTCTAGGGGTTTACTCTATCCGAACTGACCTGAAGAACTGGCTTTGGAACTGAACTTGTCTTGAAATAAACCCCAAAATATTTTTAAGGATGTGAAGATTTGAGCCCAAACATTCATGGTTAGAAAAGCAATGGTCTCACTTAATCATCGATTTACTTAAGTGATTTGATCATTTGTTTTCATTTTAATATTTGTATGTGTATAATAAATAATGTAAAAGATAATATTTACAAAATTTAAATTATAATGACAAATTTTCAACCATATATTAATATATTATGATAATCTACATATTAAATTACTCAAAGTTTTAAACTATATATTATCATTATTGAAAATTAAGGTTTTGAATGACATGTTTCATATTTTTTTTTCTTGAAGGGGGAGAGTAAAGAAAGAATAGGTTCTACGGGTAGACCCTGGAGCCAACCCCGAAACCACCAAGACTAGAACCGACTTTCACAGGGTAGGTTCCAGCTCCAAAAACCTAGAACCGATCCCTACATGGTAGGCTCCAGGTTCTGCCATGGAACCTAGCTGTTTTTTGTTGCCCAGGATACAATAAAGAATGCTAAAGAACAAAATGTTTCATTAGGTATAGAATTAGCGGAGAAGTATGGACATGCCCAATGTAGATTTTTTATTTCCACTGAAAAACTATAAACATTCAAAAGATCGAAAACTCATATTCTATGCATCCATACCCGCCCATGAATTGACATCAATTCCGAGCTGGCACCTACTCAAAATGTACTTTGAGCCTACAAATTCTGACCCTGGGCTGAATCGTCATTGTTCCTAGAATTAGAACTGTTAGCTCTGGAATAAAAGAGTTTTAGGAGCTAATCTATAATTTGCCAACTGTGACATGATGACAGAGAAGCAGTGATTTGATTGGGTGGTTCGGGATCATTCTGGGGTTTTGATTGATTACAGAGTTTGAAGATTGGGGAGAGCACCATCAATATTGTTGAAGCCTGGACAGCCAAGAAAAACAATTTGTGTAGCTTTGAGGACCAATCGTATGAGAACCATCATTGAGGGAGATTCCAAGCTTATTATTGATTCAGTCAACAAGTTGAAATCCTCCCCTTCGTGGACTATTTCAACCATTAATAGCTTTGGTGGTAAATCATGGGCAACACGGGTGAGCCTATCATGGAATGATGGAAAACTGTGGTAGTGAGTCTAGTGAGTCTAGTGACTAGTGAGTCATGGGCCGCAGGGTGAGACCATCATTGAATATTTCAATCATCATGGAAAAAGTATGGCAAGGATGGGAAAGTTAAGGAAACCTTTACAAGCCTTGTATAGGTTTTCCTACCTTTTCCTTCAAAACAAGTATAGCCTTGATGGATGCAATTCTTATATTATTGGATTTTGCACATGGTTCTCTTTTACATTCTTAAAAAAACAGCTGTATGGTTCTATTGGAGATCAAGCAATTTATCTAGCCAATAGTTACCAGTAGATTCGATCTACAAAACTTGGTTCCAATTTGGGGACTGATTTGGGAACATCCTATTGTTTTAGGCAAACAGGGCAAATTCAAAGTTAGAAGAGATAGAAACCCTTTATATAGGGGACGTTTGGAACCATGGCTGTTTTTTWAAAAAAAAAAGGTGCCACGTCGGATCCACATAGGCATTTCAACAAACACCCATGTATCTCATTGTTTGGTTCAGCAGATTATTAAAAAACTGGGCATGCCTCGAAAATTGGGACCCCACCGATGCATGAAACACCAAATTTAGTGTTTCATGCGTTGGTGAACCGTTTCCCCCAACAGTTGACTGATGTGTATTCTATGTGATTCTTACCTATCAGCACATACATGAAAAACAGTGATGAAAATCACCTTACCAAATAGCATAGTGTTGCTCACTGCCTACGTGGCTGAAGTGTTTTTTGTGAAAAACAGGTCTTGGAAGCATGAGAGTTTTTTCTTGAAAATCGGTCCCAAAAAACGCCCACGCTTCCAAACCCCCAGCGGCATGTACTAGTGCATCAACAGGTATTCCTACAATGGTTGTTCCAGAAGGAAAGACATTCTTGGTGAAGCCTTCAACTTTCAATGGTCCTTGCTTGGCCAAAAACGTTAGTGTTCAGGTAGCTAGCTGTACATATACATATATATATATATATATATATANAAATACCATAATGAAAAAAAAAACTTTTTCATTATTAGGGGGTGTTCTTTTTTCGGATTTTGAGAGAGGAGAAAGTTGGTCAATGGGATTTTGGTCCTTGCTTGGCCAAAAACGTTAGTAAAAACGTTAGTGTTTACATATATATATATACATATACATATATATATATATATATATATATAGTGTAAAATACATATATAAAGTGTAAAATACCATAATGAAAAAAAAAACTTTTTCATTATTAGGGGGTGTTCTTTTTTCGGATTTTGAGAGAGGAGAAAGTTGGTCAATGGGATTTTGGTTCCCATTGTCCTAGAATCTCATGTTTTTTTTTTCAGATTTATGTGGAGACCAGGGAAAGTTTATTTTCCTAGGTGGGTAAATAACTTTTCCACCYAAGGGGAAAGTTGCCAACACTTGAATGGGATAAAAAATGCCCTTTTTAATTATGGATTTTTATGGCTAAAATGGCAATTGCCTTATTTACATGAAAAATAGATGAACATGGGTAAATGCACTTACCCAGGTAAGTGTTTCTCAGGTTCAAAGTATCGATACGTATCGTTCCGGAACCCCTCTGATACGCTCCTATAGTGGGTGTATCGGAGGTCTGACCGGTTCAGGGGGTAGAGGAGACCTAAACCGCCCCCTGAACGGAGCCTTAATGTATTTATAAAATACCCTAGACAGAAAGATTAATATATATCGAATCTATATAATATAGTTATGCTTATTATATAATGTAATAAGCAATGTTATTGAGACATGGAGATTTGTTTTTGCAATGGTTTAATTTGTATGTAGATATGGGAAGCATCATAGCACCCCAAGCACGATTAAAGAATGGGAGGGGATGGATGCAAGCCTATGGATGGCATTCAACAATGTGAATGGACTTAGCATTAATGGATCCAGTACTATTGATGGACGGGGTTCTGACTGGTGGAATAATTAATTCATGCAGAGATCATCCTGGCAAGGTGGGTTTGTTTTCAGTTCAGTTTGCTTTCCTCTTTAATAAACTAATTAAGTGTTGATGCTTTGGTGGAATTTTCATCTTTCAGGATACACCTCGTCAGCACCAATTGTAAGTATTGCCCCGTTTGATATTGCATGCATATCATCAGCATACCTACACTAAGTAAAAGGGTTCGACTATGAAACCGAAAAGATATAATATCCAAGAATATCAGAGTTGAAGTAGTAAAATTTAGGATATCTTACCCTAATTCGTCCCACTATTATTATCCAAGAGTTTTTTTTTTTAAATAGAATTTCCTATTTTGGTTTCATGAAATTTCATTTGGCCCATGATTTGGTGCGCCCAAATCTTGGCGTTGTCATTTGTTTATTCACTTGGTAATCAAATTTAGAAAAGAAAACTGATGAAGAATTTGTTAAAAAATGTTATACAGTCAATGAAATTCCTGAGTTGCAATGACTGTCATCTGAGCAATCTTCGGTTCGTCAACAGTCCCCAGGTTCACATCCTGGTGTACCAGTGTAACGGGATTTACATTGATGGAATTGTTATTAGGTCTCCAGAGAACAGCCCAAACACTGATGGCATCCACATCCAATCAGTCGATAATATGTTAATCCAGCGTACAGACATTGGCGCTGGTAATCATTTTTATATTTATATTTTCATAATAAATTTCTTTACGCCTTAATCCTTCTCACTGTTCCGCGATTAATCTCCATTCTACCACCCTCAATTTCCGAAGAAAAAAAAAGCTGACTTTGATTTTTTATGCCAAACAGGAGATGACTGTATTTCCATAGGAGATTACACTTCCAATATTAATGTCAAGGATATTATATGTGGTCCTGGTCATGGTATAAGGTAAGTTTATTCCTTTTGGTAAGTTCTGTTTAGAATTGGATAAACCTAAACCCATATTCAAAATCCGTTTGTCTCGTAGTAGTTCCTCCAATTTTAGATTAATTAATTAAAAATTATTAATTTCTATGCAAATAGACAATCTAACCCTTTTTCTACTGGATGAGAAAGCAGTATTGGAAGCTTGGGAAAGGGAGGCACTTCATCCAAAGTGGAGAAATGTCTCTTAGCTTATAATTTGATGATTCATTTCAGTCGCCTAACGATCTGTTTCATGCATGGCATGGGCCTATATAAATTTCTGAATATTTAATATTGTAAATGTGATTATATATACTTTTTCTAAATCATCAATCTCTCTCTCTCTTTTTTTTTTTTTCTGAAAAGTTATATTGTTTCAACAGGTGGAGCAAGGATACTGCCGATGAATCACCTTTGAACATATCAGGCTCACCAATGTCCAAAACCCTATCATCATTGATCCACACTATTTCTGCTGGGTAGCTGGATGCAAAGAATTAATTGGTTAGAACTTAGAACTCAACTCTCTCTCTATATATAGATATATATTTATATCAAACTGAACCGATCATTAATTCTTCTTGTTGTGTTTGTGAAGCCAACGGGCACTCACATAAGCAATATTACATTTTCTGACGTGGTGGGAACTTCAAGCACACCCGTGGCCATCAATATGAATTGTAGTTCCGCTGTTCCATGCAGTGAAATATCCCTGAATTCAGTACAACTTACGTCTGCAACTCCTGGACAGAAAGTCACCACCAATTGTAAAAATGTAATCGGATCTGCAACTGCACCAATCCAACCCGCTGTTCCTTGCCTCACAAATAAAGGCTCCTCAAAATCAAAATGTTCAAGCTTTCGCTGTGCGGTTACTGAGTTTGGGAAAACTCGTTAGGGAGGGAGTGAGAGAGAGAGACCTTCGTTTCTCTTAATTATGATTTGTTTTGGGCTGACAGCAATCACTACAGTTCCTGTAATGGGTGTTTGTATCTCTGTGATTTGGAGTAATAAATCTAATCAAACCTATATAAGATTTGTAAAGATTTTCTTACCTTTTTTTTCTTTTCCCTATTTTTTCCTTCAAATCAAACATAGATTTAGTGTTTAACTTTTTCCCTTACGTTCCAGCTCTTATAGAAATGTAGTTCTTTATAATCCAAACTGAAGGTATCATCAAGTTAAAGCTTAGAGACAAGAGAGAGACAGAATTCTGAAAAGAATGAGCCAAAATTCTCTCTTGATTTTTGTGTACATACAAAGGTGTTATATACAAAAAACAATGACAAATAAATTTTGAAGATAAATACAAAGATAAAAACATGTAAACAAGGTAATAGCCCAATAAGTAACTTTCAAAGGAGGAATTTTCCTCTTTAATCTAGCTGGTCTCTCACTCTATCTTTAGCAGAAGCCTTGAATCCCTACACTAGATGGAATTTAGGCCTTGATAGATATGTATTGAAATATTTTGGTCATACAAGTGTATGAAAACATTAGAGGAAATTAATGGGATGATTCACTATTACTCGTAAATATTATATGTATCATTTAAGCTCATAGCAAAGTTCAACCATGGGGTTGAATGCTTTGTGTTTGTAATAAGATGTTAATTTGGAGAAGAAAAACATTCGTATAGAGGGAAAATCAAAGAGATCGAGAATTGCAAATTTTATGGAATTGTTCAAAATAATGTTTTAAAATATGGAAGCATGACGTAAGGCATTCCACCACCTAGAGGCGTGAGGCATAGTTCAAAATGTAAGAGACGTAAGCCTCCTAAACATAAGGAGGAGTAAGCCTCCTTAAGAGGAGGGGGTCAGTAGGAAGGAGAAGAAAGTGGAGGAGGAAGAAGTCTAAGAACATCATTAATACTGGGTTGGTTTGCATCAATTCGATTTGTTATAGCTATGACAAGAGATTCATACTCGTTGCCTAAGCCAGATAGAACATATAGAATCAAATCTTCTTTTGCTATAGATTTTGATAGTATAGAAAGATTATCTACAATCATTTTGGCTTTCTAAACATAATCACCAATTGACAAATTTCCTTTCTTGAGATTCTGAAGCCGACACCTGAGTTGTAACACTCTAAATTGAGAGTGTGAGGAAAAAGATTTTTCCAAAGCACTCCAAACTTTAGCAGCCATAGAAAGTCCAACAACTTGTACTAGAACTCCCTTAGTCAGAGATGCTACGAGCCAATTTAATACAAGTTGATCGAATTGTACCCAAGTAGAGAAAGTTAGGTTAGGAATTTTCTTACTATATATTATCAATAGGATCCTAGATCTCTTCTTGAGGAGGCTTGGCTGATCCATCAATTAATTCCATTATCTTGTGAGTTCGAAGTATTACTAACACTTGAGCTTTCCATAGAAGAAAATTTTCTCCATTGAGCTTGATTGTCAAGTAATGAGAGGTGTTGGAAATGGAGTTGATGTTCATTGAATTTGAAAAAGTTTGTGAAGAAGTTGAACTCAAGCTCATTGCCTCAGATGCACCAGTAATGTTGAAGGCCTTCAATGACTTGGCCCTGATACCAAGTTAAAGCTTAGAGACAAGAGAAAGACAGAATTATGAAAAGAATGGGTCAAAATTCTCTCTTGATTCAAGTGTACAAAGCCCAACTGAGTAACTTCCTAAGGAAGAAGTTTCCTCTTTAATCTAGCTGGTCTCTCTATAGTAACCACTCAATCTTAGTAGGAGCTCTCTCTATAATAACCACTCTATCATTAGTAGGAGAGCTGGAGATGGTCGATTCCTCAATATTTCAAACCTCATCCTGGATTAGGATTTAATCCAACTCTTCCCTAGTAACATTAAAATAAGAGATATTATTTAAAATTCACCATGACTTTTTCACATTTTATCTTAAACTCGCCATGACTTTTCTAAATCTCCAAAGAGTCCCCAATCATTCATCTACAACTAAAATTTATGGCTTTAATTAACAAAACTTCCATACTAACCGTCAAACTATCCCCTGACTACGATGTCAGTAGAGCACTATTCATCGTCTTCTTTCTTCCAATGACTAAACCTCAACTGGCCCCTTCTTTCTCCCCTTCCCTCGTTTCCCTCTTTCTCCCCCCTTCCTCTTCGGACACAGAGGACTTAATTTGAGTGTCGTGGAAACAGAGGAGAAGATTGCCTCGTGGATGCTTGAAGGCCTTGAACATGTGTTGACAAAATTCTGATGTAGCATCCTTAATTGATGGAATACTTGACAAGTAGCAAGATTAGGGACTGCCTTGTTTGAGTCATTGTGTCAAGCTTTGAAACTTAAGCCGAAACACCTGATGAGAAGTTCTTCGTTCTTTAAGCAAAAGATTCAAGCCTCCTAAAAATATGTTTCATTGGGCCACGTCTCCTTTTATGTCATGTTTGGTATGTTGCTGTAGGTTTTATTTTCTTAATTCTTATTCATTTTAGGCAAGAATGGACAAGAATGAATTTTAATATGAGACAATTTGACAAACGCCTTTAAGATTTCTTATTTGCCTATTCCGTTCACTCAAAATAATCAATAAAAGATTTAAACCTTCCTAATGGAACTCAATCTCCGTAGGGAACCAAAGTATGATCGTTTTTCTCATCTCCGGCCAACCAAGCTCCACGAGAAAATTAGTTAATTAATTGCTATCTTGCATATGACGCAGTGAAAGAGTGAACTCCATCTTAGAATTGTTTTTTTTTTTATTTTTTTTTCTATTATTCTTTTAAGTATTTTTCTCACCCATAAAAAAAGTTAGAAAAATCTAACTTGGAATCTATGTCCCTTCATTTTTTTTTCTTTTGATTAATTACTTGCTTTTAGCAAACCAAGAACTGATTCTCCATACCAATCTCCAGTTTTGAAAATTAAAACATGTTAAAATACCTTTTCAGATGTATTGATTAAATATCTTCTTTAATAGCCGATGGTGGACCTCATTGTAGCCTTGCCAACCAATGTAAAAAGCCTAACTTCCCCGGAGAAGTTCTAAATTGAAAATCAGTTTCGTTATTATTTTCTTGGTCTGGGTTCAATATTGTTAAATGAGCAAAGACAACCCTGTTTCGGTTCAGCTGCTGCGGTGATTTGAGTTTCAGGATGTGGAAAGTAGTGAAAGATACCACTACTGTGCTTTACCTTTGAAATAATGGGTTTACGTGTTTGTTTTGCCGAAGATGAGAAGGACGACCATGATAGTTCCTGCTGAGATTATTTTTAGAGAAGGGTTACGGCAAAGAACGAATAGGGATATATATTTCAACTGTGATTATTTTGAACCTGGAGAGAGAGACAAGTAAGAAACCCTAATGGCATTTTGTCAATTATCTCAACCTCAGTCATTGAACTAACTAATCTGACATGGCATAAGAGGAAACGTGGTCCAATTAAATGTGTCTTTAGGACTATTGTTCTTCAGAAGCAAATAATAAATAGAGCTCATTATGAACAAGAAAATCTTCTGCACTGAATAGATGCTATGAGAAGCATAAAGCTGCTGAAAATTACAGTCGATAATGGGAAAATCATGCCGCAACGATTTCAAGGGAGTCATTCCGTTCCAAATGCAACCATCAAAATTAACCAGGTTATTTAGTGAGAGGAGGCTTTGAGTTTTAGCCTTTAGGTTGGCTCCATCAAGTTTTGCAAAGTAAGCAGCCCCTTTGTATCAAATATTTTATTTAAAAACATTTAATAAGATTGGTTGGGGTAATTTGGTCATATAAATTATTTAAATGCTCATGCGGACAATTTCTGTTAATGATCACTAATGATGATCTAACGGAAGGTAAATTTTAGAAAATAAAAACTCACTACTAAAAGTTTTGAAAAATTATGGTGAACTTTAAATAATATCCCTTATTTTAAAAATTAATTATTTTTAATATATATATATATATATTTATGGCATTGTTATGTATATCAAATATAATTGGACTTGGTATTTAGCAAATTTCTATGAGGACATGGTGGTGAAGCCTTGCAGCAAAGGGGGTTGCAGTACTAGTATTAGTACTCTTGAGTAACTTAGTCTTGCTTGGATTTCTATTGGGTTTTATTTCATTTGGGTTTCTGTTTTGTTTGAAGGGCTTAATTAGAAATGGCAACGGGGTGGGTTTGGGGCAGGGATCATATTCTCCGTCTCCGATGCTGATTATAAAAGTAATCCTGGTTTCTGTCCCCGATCCCCGTTGAAGATAAAATTTGTCCTCCATCCCCGGTCCCCGACGGTGATGGGTTCCCCGTGGGGACTTGAATACGTGATTTTTTTAGATACCAGTATTTATTTGAAAAATAAATTTACTTAAAATAAATAAAAATTTTAAATTATAAATATTTTTTTAAATATATTTTGATATATATATATATATATATATAATATAAATAGTATAATAATATATTTAATATATAATATAAATAATATAATAATATAATATATATACATATATACATAATCGAAATCGGGGCGGAGTGAGAACCTCAATCCCCACCCCCGACCCCAACCCCGATCAGGAATTCCTATTAATCCCCATCCCCGTCCCACCAAAACAATCCCAAAATCGGGTCCCTGCCGGGATGAGAAAAATTGCCAGGCTTAATTAGTTGATGGTGGGTTTCGAACTAGGCTTTTAAATGTAGAACAGAGTGCCATAGGGACCAGGAAACGAAAAAATTGCCATCTCTAACCAAATCTACGTTCAATATGATTACTAAACAAATATATACAAATTTTAACATCCAAATCAAAATAATTAGAGTGGACGCCATATCGGATATCAAATTTTTAGAGTTCAGTGACAGCCTTACTTTACACGTCCATCAAAGAAGAGTTTTGTTTGTTCAAAAGTCTCTCAAAGAGGCGCTCTATACTACATTAGTGCTATCGAATATGGTGCTAATACTAATAGGCATTGGATTCATCTTTCATTTTTTAGAGATAAGAAGAGTAAAATAAATGGAAAAAAATCAAAAACAAAAAAAAAAATACTAAAAACCCAAAGAGAAAGAAGAGTACTATGCTGACATGGTTTCTCTATGTTTACACATACAACAAAAAAAAAAGGAAAAGAAAGAGCAATTACACTACATAACAAATGTATGTCCTGCGCATTTTCATTGTGCACTTAATTTGGAGGAATTAGAGTACTTTATGGATGTGGTGTCTCTATGTTTACACATACATAAAAATAAGGAAGAAAAAAAGAGCAATTACGCTACACAATTGTAGATTTCCTACATTATTATTGTGCACTTATATTATGATATATCTGACATGTTGGACATCAAAAATTCAATTTTTATCTTCACAAAATTGTAACTCACTGTTGTGTTTTGATGATAATAAATTCATTGAAAGTACTAATGGTGTATTAAGTATGTGGTTAATCCAAGCTTATTTAAACTACATATGCTACAAGAATTTTATTGAAAAGGAATAAGTGAAAGCATTGCTTGATTCAGCTGATTAAGCCTAGTAAGGCTTGGTCCCATCCTATATCTCTTATCATAGCTACAAAGCCTAGCCCAACCCTACCCATGATTAGACTTGTTCAAGGGCCGGGCCGGGTTTTTAGTCTTCATTAATGGAAATATGTTAGGCCCAAGCCCGAGCCCGGCCCGACCAATGGGCCTACAACTTGGGCCCGAGCCTGGCCCTGATAAAAAGCCCGAAGCCCGACCTAATAAAAAAATTAAAATTTTTCCCTATTCAGTAATCAATATAAATTAGAATTTATTTACATTAAAAAAATAATATAAATTCAAAATTTATTTACATTAAAAATAAATAAGGGAAAAAGGATGTGGAGAAGAAGGGTTCGACTAGAAAAATAAGGAAAAGAGGTGAAAAAAAGAGGGGTATTCGACTAGGGTTTTTAGGTTTAATTATAGGTCGGGTCGGGCTGGGCTATTTTGGCAAATCCCGAGCCCGGCTCGAATTTATTGCGAGTCGGGCTTTTTGGCCCGAGGTTAAGCCCGCGGGCCCATATACCTATTCAAGCCCATCCGGGGACCGGGCCGGCCCGTCGGGCCACCCGGCCCATGAACAGGTCTACCCATGATTACCTTTAATTTAGGGTTGCATGTTGGGATGCCAAATTTGAAGAATTTCAACTACATTAAGCTTCCATTGGGGTTCAGGCCTATTGAAAATTTATCAAACTCCCAACCCAACAAAACCCAAGTTCCACCCTGCTTTGGATCCTAGCTAGGGTCCATTTTATGGTTAGTCTTGGTTTGGCCTTGTGGGCTTTTGTGGTGAGAAAGACCCCTCATCTGTCTAATATAGACTAGTAAATTAAATGTGCACATGACAATTTCATATATTAATAATTGTAGTAACAATAATAGTATCAAAGATGTGTCCAGATCTTTTTATAAATTTTCTATATTTTTCTATATTCGCTTATATTTATGCTTAATTTTAAACTTTTATTATTTAATTATGACATTACAAGATGGCTTGTTTGATGAGTGCATAATACTCGGGATGCCTCCTAATTTTGTATAAACTTTTTATGTTTTTTATAGCCTTTAGTATTTCTATCTATTTTTAATTTTGTATTGTTTAATTATGACATTATGGGTTAACCTAGACCATTGAATTTCTAAACCATTCTCTGAATGAAAAATATTTTTCTTTGTAAGACAATTTTAAATTTTGTATTCCATTTACATTATCGATAAAAGTAAATGGTTATATGACATATCAGAGATGTGCCAAATTTTTGTCAGAATTTTTCTAATTTTCTATTTCTACATTTTTTTTAAATTATATCATTTGATTATAACATTATGGGTTGACGCATTTGAATTGGACAGTTGACCCATTTGGTTTTAAATTTTGTATTTCATTACGTCATTAATAAAAAGGTTTCTTGTTTATCACAATTATCTTTTTTGGATATGAATTAAGGTCCCGTTTGGTTCATGGGAATAGGGGTCTGGAATTGGAATTGGAACCGGAATAGGTTATTCTGATTCCAACTGTTTGGTTTAGCGGAATCAGAATCCCATTCCCATTCCTGCTAGAATGGCATTTCTCAGTTTGAGGAAATGGCCATTCCCTGCCCCTCCCCTAGGAATGAAATCACATTCCTGTCTAAACCAAACAGACCATGGGAATACACCATTCCGACTCCAAAGGATTTTGATTCCGACTACAAACCAAATGGGCCCTAATACATAATATTAGAGATGTGTCTATTTTTTTTTTTTCTATAGTCTTCTATAAATTTTTTTAGAAAAATATTCTTTAAGTATGACATCATGGATTGGTCCAAATTGATCTAGAGGGTTGAACCATTGACAATATGACAATGGTTATTTTTTTTGCATCATCAATATAAACACTTCTTATTTATCATGCTTATTTTTTCTCAATATGACAATTATATAATATTTAGTGTTCTGCCCAAAATTTTCTAAAATTTTCTTTATTTCAATATTATTATCTATTTTTTAATTTTTAATATTAATTATGACATTGTAGATTCACATGTTTGACCCAAATGGTTGAACTCCTTAGTCCTTACACATCACCTGAAAAACCAATTTCGTTTCTAAGTCAATTTTAAAAATGGATTTGTTAATACAATTTAATGGTGAAAAATAAAAATACTTTAGATATAAGATTCAACCAAAGATAACGAGTATATCCTTAAATGTGGATCTTAACGAGGGAATGAAATGTATTGAAAAGTAATAATCAAATTCCAACTTGGAGAAACCAAAATCCAACTTGTCCATTAAATATCAATAAGAGAAAAATGTAAGTATATAATGCGATGCATTAATTGCTATAACTTAAAAAAAAAAAAAAAAAACTGCATAAATAGATACCAATGAGAAGAACCTAACTATGGTTGCAAACTTGCAACAGTTTCGCTGAATTCACAGATAGAATGGTGAGAATCTATTTCTCTCTCTCTCTCTATATATGATGTGCAGTTTTTGTTTTCTGTCTCAATGGCTAGATATTGTTTCTTTAATTTGACATGAATATGGTTTTGTATGAAGGGACTCTTCACCGTTTTCTTGATTTTGGGCATGGCTTCGTTTGGATTGAGTGGTAGATTCGATGTCATGAAGTCAAGTACTTTCAATGTGGAAGACTTTGGAGCCGTCGGCGACGGCAAAACAGATGATTCGCAAGTAAGCTGGTTGTTTCCCTGTATATTTTGGCTGTTTTTTTAGTTGTAAAACCTTCAGATGGACATGCATATATGGAGAGATAGCATAGAAAAGAAAAAGGCGCATGCAGCTGAAATCATTTTACAATATATCGCTATATGGGTTGTATGATACCCGAAAGATAAGATATTGGAAAACTTAATAGCTTATAATCAGCTCATATCACAAAATAGGTGATCGTCAATCAGGTGGTATTAGTAAAAATTTTCGGGGTGGTTTGATTGGTCAAAACTTTTCTGATATTATATCATTAATTTACTTTCATTTTCCTAATTTTTCCGATGTAATATGGGTTCCGCAAGTTTGAATTGAGAGGATCAACTCATCAACAACCCTCTGGAAAATGATGTAATGGAAAATCAAAGATAATGTTAGTTTCCTTCAGCTACTATTCACCTTTTACAGTATTTTTCCATGCATGCAACCAAACGAGCTCAGATCTGCTATCCACTAGACGCTACAATTTATCGCACATCAGAAACATCTCAGGTGATTGTTCTCAATGCGCGACTGTAGTGTCTTGTGGGTAATGCGTGGATAGCAAATCCGATCTCTAAGCAAATATGTTAAAATAGATTTTTCGTTGTTTTTTTTTTTTTTAGGAAATTATTCGTAGAGGTTCAAATTGAATTAATGGAATTAATTGACTATATATATATATATGTTGAGTATTTGTCTTTAGTAAATAAGTTTTATGCTAGTGCGTTATAATTTATAAATGGTTTGAAATCTGAAGGCTTTTATGAGAGCGTGGGAAGCGGTGTGCGGAGACAACTCAGGTATTAATCACACGATTCACACTCTTGTTACACCTGCCAAGACATTTTTGTTGAAGCCTGTGGAATTCAACGGACCCTGCAAAGCCACTGAAATTGAAGTTCAGGTAACGTAAGAGTAATTAATATATATGGCTGCTATTTATTTCTTCTCTTTTCAAAAAAAAAAAAAAAAAATTGCATTTTAAGCCTAAAGCTGTTGTGCTTATGCATTGACTTAAACCCACTAGAGGGCTTTCTCGTAGCAGTTTTTGGCTTTATAAGGCGGGCCTCACTCAGATAGAATTTGGTGAAAATTCCTTACGTTAATTATAATTAATATTAATAAATTGATATTAATCATTATTTTTAGAATAAAATTATTAATAAAAATAATAAAAAACAGTTTTATCGTAATAATAATATGATTATTATTTTACGAATAAATAGTATTATGATAATAAATCATATTTAATATATTAAATAATATTTTAGTAATATATATATATATATATATATATATTTTTTTTTTTTTAATTTTAGTATAATAAGAGTGTGTTACTAATAATAAATTATGAGTAAAATGTGAAAAGAGCATTTTGGGGACAAAAAAAAAGGTTGTTAGGTCTAATGTCTAATGTCTGAAAAAGAAGAGATATTAAAAGAACAACCTCTTGTATAAAGTCCTTTGCTTTTAAGTAGGGTGATCATTCTTGGTCTAGCCTAGAAACCCAGCTCGGCCTAGACCTTAAATTTCTGGGCTTAGGCCCAGGTTTTTGCATGAAAATCCGGCCCATATATAAATATATAATTTTTATATTATAATATATTATATTATGAATTATATATACTTAATATTACATATTTTATACATTATATTTATATGCAAATATATTTTATTTTATATGAAACATTTACTATTTTATATAAAACATAAATTTTTAACACATAAATATTCATGAATTTACACACGAGCCAACACATGAATCAAATCAAGTATGAGAGTTGCCCTTCTAGACAAGACCTTTTATGGATGAAGGCCTTTATTTTCATTCTTGAACAATGAAGACTTGGGATCAAAGTCATCAAACTCAATTGTAACACTAGCTATTGAGTATTATTCCATGTTCTACATTGCTCAAGAATAGAAATGAACTAGTAGGGACACGTGCGGTGTACATACTTTGTTAAGCAAAAGCTAAACAATAGAAACACATTAGACTAGACAATTGGTTTATATTTTAACTTTTTAAATAATTAATATATTTATATTTTATATATTATTTTGTAATACAAAAATAATAATAATTAATTTTGATTAGGGTTGTTCATCAAACCGATGAAACCGACCAAATTGACCTAACTCGTCCTGAGTTGGTCACTTTCTAGTATTTCCATTCAGATTTAGTTCAGCAATTTCTCAACATGACCATGTCAGGTAAGTTTCGATTTGGCCATTTGTAAATCGACCAAAATTGAATCAACTCGACCACAAATATATACTAATATTTTATATTTTAAACATATTTTTTTAATACAAAAAAGTGGTAAATTCCCTTATTTCTTAATCTAAAAATTTTTTATATTTTAAATTTAATTTTTAAAGTTTAAATCTTTTGAACCGACTAACCAAATCGAAAATCGATGCAAATCGATACCAGTGCTTTTAACCCATCATTGACTCGGTTGATTGAACCCTTCAAACCATCACCGACCATGATTCCAAGTTTGATTCTATAAAGTTTAAATCCTTTGAACCAACCAACCAAACCGAAAATCGATCCAAACCAAAACTAGTGTTTTTAACCCATCGTTGACTTAGTCGATTGAACCCTTCGAACCATCACCCAACCTTGATTCTAGGTCTGGTTCTATTGAAACCTGCCCTTTCGGTAAAAAACCATTGACTTAGTCAAAATTTGACCACCTGAATGGTTTAATCGTTGATCCATTCGACATGCTCACCGAGTTGCAGGTTGCACACTTAATGTATGTGAAAACTTTCAAAATCCATAACTTTACACTCCAATGTCCAATTAAGGTGATCTTTTTTTTTCGATATCTATGCATTCCAAGGTTCCATGGGCGACTTGTCCAACTAATTTTGTGAAAAACCCTTTTTTTCCTCAAATCACAATTTTTAATATTTTTTATAACTAAAAAACTTAAAAACTAAACAAAATACACGTATATAAATATATACACATTTATATATGCATATATATATATATATATATATTTAAATTTATAGAATGTTGATGTGGAACAATCTGACCCGTTCCACCAAGACTATTGAATTGGTGGTTGCAACCCGAATACAAAAGTGGGTGGGTCTTTAGGTCAGTTTTTAAAACATTGATCGGTACAACTCAAGTTGCTCAGTTTTCACTAATGGTTAGTTAGTTTCAAGTGACCAACTCTCCAACCCGACCAAATTAGTTTGGTTGGCCAAACAATTTGCAATTGAATCGAACCAAACCAACCAGTGAACACTCGTAATTTCAACTAAATTAATAGTCTAATGTCTAACAAATAACAATAGTTTAATCTCCAATAATTATTGAAAATTTATAAAAAAAGTACACAATTATTGAAAATAAATTTATAACAAAATTACAATAAATAACTAATAAAAAGCTACAATACCTCTAAGTTATTTAATCTATTTTTTACTATTTCAATAATAGTTAAATCTATTATATTATTTAATAATAGATAAATTATTTATATTTTATATTCTTATTATCAAATATTATTAAATCTATTATAATTAATTCTGTAGTTCTGATAAATTTTTTAAAGTTATTATATAATTTCGTTATTTAATCTACTTTTTATTTTTTAAATAATGTTTAAAATATGATTTAGTAATTAAAGTTATTTACAATATCATTATTTCTACTTTTAAGAAATTTTAAATTTTATTACATAAGTTCACTATTTTAACTATTTAAAATTTAGTTATAATCAATATTTCATTATTTAAAATATTTAGATAGTTAAATATTTAACTAAGATGTAAAATATTTAAATTTTTTGTTATTTAAGTTTTATTTATTTTAAAGTTATTACGATTTAGCTATTTTTAATATTTTGTTACTTAAAATATTTTTTTTGTTATTTAAAATATTTAACTATTAGAGCATTGGTGTACACATTTAGATGCATTGTTTTCTAACCGTTGTTGACCCGAACAGCCGGACTGTTTGACCCAATAGTCGCCAGGCAACCAATTCAATTTCACCCTTAACTTGGTCCTTTGCCAAAAACATTGATTTGGTCAGTGACCCACTAACCCAGGTTGTCAAGCTATCGGCCCATTCAACTCGTTCAATGGATTTTAGCCATTTTTATTTTAACCATTTTTTTTTATTTTTTAAGTTGGAACGAGCTATCTGTTCGAATTGAACAATCAAACCGTTGACCCAAAAAACTGTATACAGAATGGTTCTGTTCTGGGTCGGGTTTTAAAACCTTGTTTAGACGTGTGTTCTCCAAAATTTTGAAAAAAGATTGAAAAATTAAAATAGCTAAAAAGCCAATGTAGATGACTCTATGTGTTTAGATGAGACATGTTTGTAGTTAACAATTTTCTAGGAATGGAGTTAACCACTCCTATTTTTTAGTTAATGAGCTTACCCACTCTAACTTTCCTAATTTATTGGGCAAAAAACATTGGAGATTGCCATGCTGGCATGGCAACTCCTAGTGCTTCTATCTTGCACTCCCTCTGGAGTTGCTAAACCAAGTTTAGGAATAAAATGAGGCCCATTGTCTTTATTTTTGTATAATAGGCTCAAAACTTAGCTAAGCCTAGCCTAGTTTGGGTTTGTACAGTGCCTTTTTTCATCTATTATATGTTATTTAATTTAAAATTTTTAAATAATTAATTTTTTAATTAGACTAAAAAAATCCCCTAAGCCTTGCTCAGGCCCATGCAAGGCAAGGTCTGGGCTTATAATTTAGGCGCCTAAGGTGCATACGGAGCCCAGGCCGAGGCTGAAACCTTTATCATGGGTGCTAAACCCAGCCCAGTCAATGATCACCCCTACTTTCAAGACATTAGATGTTGAAAACAGACCAAAAGAAGAAGCCCTAAGTAACTTCTTTAAAGAAGCTGAGAGAACTACAGTGCTCCCAAATGGGCCCTTAGTTCACAATACCATAACTTAAAAGGCTCTAAAGGGGCAGCCACATGTATCTTAATTTTAAGACAAGCTAACAAAGCATGGTTTTTGAAACCGATCCGGTGACCGAACCGGTCAGGGGTCCAGTTATGGGGTCAAACGATTCAACCATTCGAACCAAATACTCGGCCCGTTCTGACAAAAAAAATAAAAAAATAAAAAATGATCACAACCGTTCGAACGGTTAACCACCTGGTTCAGCAGTTTGCTGACCAAAATCAACGGTTTTGAGAGGAAATCCGGTTTTTGAGGAAAATAGAACCAGTCACCTGACTGATTCCCGATTTCTCTGGTCCAACCGTCCAGTCCAATCCGATTTTGAAAACCATGTACCAAAGCTTTGGTTGAACTGATTTGAAGAAGCCACAAAGAAAAGCTTGGACAAAGGCATTTTTCTGGGCTGAAGGATTGCAAATCTGGGCTTTCCAGGTAGGGGTGCAACCATGCAAGTGGGTACGATTTTATCTCAAACCACATTTTGGCCAAAAAATAAAATATAATAAAACTGTTAACTTGGTCATCAATCCGATGAATGATCAAGTTAACCATTCACTCATTTGACCCAGTCTTTTTTTGACGTAAACTATTGAGCTATTGACATGCCACCTAGACCAATCAATTTTTGAAACTTTGGTTTGTTATTAATATTTTCATCCTATAGTGGAATCAGCCGGTCGGATTATTGGATTGGACCCATCACTTGACCAAGATTTCATATCTATTTTTAGATTTTATATATTTAATTTTAAAACCATGGAGTGACCCATCATTTGACCAAGATTTCATATCTATTTTTAGATTTTATATATTTAATTTTAAAACCATAGATTGACCCATTGTCATAGAGGGTTTGAACAGCTGATCCACGACTTAGACTAACACATTGTTTTATTTCTGAGTTAGTTTTTGAAAAATTGGTTTTTATACTATTACATTCATGGGGTATAAAGTTAATTACTGAAATTTAGTGGTGGAAAACAAAAATGCAAAAAAGAAAGGAGTTAATGAGAGAGAGTAGGATGAACTGAAAAAAATATAAGGGTATTTAAATCAATAAAAAGACCTAGAAACATTCGATGTCCATTCTCACATTAAGATTGACATTGTGCAAAAAAAATTGGGTTAGGATTGATTAAGTTAGGTGTTATTTGGCAAGTCTTTTTTAAAAGATCTGATAACCAAAAGACGTAGTAGAATCACATGAAAATCTTGGCACCTCAAAGACCGTTTGGTTGGAGGCACATCTTTTTGTGTGAAGACAAAGCGAAAAAAGGCAAGAAATTCCATTTCTAGCTTCCCGAAATAAGCTCAAATGAGTTTCTTGCATCTTTTTGGGGCACATTCCCAAACCAAATGGAAAAAGACGAAAACACAGACTTCCAGACTTTTAAATAGCTGACAGCCCACATAGAAAGATATGCCAAACGGGGCCTTAGTCTTAATGCAGTAAAGCCAATCCTAAAAGCTGAGCTGACCAAACTGAACCAATATATCCATTAAAAAAAATGAATATATAATTACACACGGACCATCATTTTGCTATTAGATTGAAGTAATATTTCCACCACGGTGAAAGCAGGTTCTAGGGAACATAGTCGCACCCAGTGACAAATCAGCTTGGAGTGGCTTCGGAATGGATAAATGGATTGCCTTCTCCCATGTAAATGGTCTCACCATCAATGGACCAGGACAAATCGATGGCAGGGGTTCTTCTTGGTGGTCACAACCTTGCACATTCAACGAATTAAATGTGTGTAAAATATTTTCATTTTTCATCCATTTTCTTCATCCTCATTTTAATTTATTTGGGTTTAACCATTATACCTATATTTTTCAGGCATTCGAATGCCAACGACCAACAGTAAGTGCAAAACATTCATTCTTTTTGTTGAAGAGCTCTTGGCTGCCCACATTTGACAGCCTCTACTGCCTACAGGGTTCTTTCCAAGTGAGACATTAGTCCATGGGTTCTATAGGAAAATCTTCTAATCAATCAACTGATATCATAAAAGTGGTAATTAATCAAATTCTAATCATCTAAGTTAAAAGTTCTTCCGGTATCATACCTTTCCGGCATTTTTTCCTTAGAATGGTTTCAACAAAGTTACTATTCCAAGATGCCAATTGGCTGGTTGGCAAGGTCCCCTGCTTCTTGCAGCAGAGACTTGGGATTAAATTCCCACAGTACCAGGATTGCGGGAGTTATGGGTTTGGGGATGGACTACTACCCCAGCTGTATAGGCCCATGGATTAAAAAAAGATACTGTACATGAGATTCATATACACTAATGTATCAAGGAGGGAGAGCCTTGTACCAGGAGAGGCTGTTGAAAGTAAATAGCCAAACGTTTCAAATCCGGATCTGCTCCTCACATTGCATCTCAGCCACGCATTGGAAACATCTGCTGTATTTTGTGTTGTTATTCATGGGGAGATATTTCCAATACATGGTGGGATGGGGCTGTGAGGTCAATGTGAGGTGTGCTCTGTGAGGAGTAAATCCTAATTCAAACGTTTCCCCCTTTTCTTTAGCACGGGGCTATTGCTAGAGAATCACATGGAAATGGGCTTTTTGAAGTATGTGTTTGGTAATGATCCAGGCACTACAATTTAACGCATGTAATGGGCTTCGACTAAATGGGCTACACCATGTAAACAGCCCGAGAAATCATATCTCCATAGAGAGCTGTAGTTATGCAACCTTGTACCAACTCCAAATAAATTCCCCAAAAGACAGTCCAAACACTGATGGTATTGACATATCCAATTCCACCCATGTTAGAATCATAAACTCAACCATTTCAACGGGTAAGTTTCCTTCTTTTTGTTTTATCTGTTGTACCGTAATTAACCTTTCTTTTTCTTCTAATATGAACTAACCTGACTGTTATTACTTAAATTTCTTTTGTTATAGGTGATGACTGTATTGCTATTAATTCCGGCTCCTCCTATATCAACATCAGTTATGTCAACTGTGGACCGGGTCATGGGATAAGGTTTGTGTAACCCCGTTATGGTTCAATGGTTGCTTGAAAGAGTGATTTAGTAGTTTTGTCAAGTGTAGGAAATGCTGTTTTCGATTGCCGACTAAATGGGTCTCAAGACTCTCAGGAGTCAAGAGCTAACCACTTTTCCCATGTTTCAGGAGTCTGAAACAAAGGATCATATAGATTGGTAGGCCTGACAGGGAAGATTAACTAGTCCATTTCTTTGGTGGAGCCTATTGAGATGTGGGTATAATTTGGCCCACAGACTATAAATAAGGACTGAGAGATGGGGATCCGAGAGCCTTGATCCCTATTATGCCTCAAAGTTTCCCACTTATATTATTAATATCTTTATAGTTTTGCTACCCCCACCCAAAAAAAATCCAATCCGACAGTACCCAAATAACAACTTGCTCAGTATCATCACTTATATATATACACACACACACAGAGATCAAAATCACTTATTGTGGCAACATTTGACAAGTCTTTCTGCACAGTCTTTTGGAATTTGGTAAGATCAGAAGACTGAAAAACTAAAAAATAGAAAAACCAGAAGATGTGTCCATGGAAAGACCGAAAACGACAACTATATTTCAAAAAGCCCAATAGACCGAACCACTTAAAATGGTCATTATCGTCTAGGCTCTGGAAAATCTTTCTAAAAGGACTTGCCAAACGGCACCTATATTTTTTGAAAGCCTAGAAACCAGCTAGCTTGCATTATTACCTATTTTTAATAGGGTAATTGAAAATATATAGCAACAAACTACCTTCTCCTTCTATTAATTTGTAGTATAGGAAGCTTGGGAGAATTAGGATCTTATGCCACTGTGGAAGAAATACATGTGCAATACTGCAATTTCTTTGGAACAGAGACTGGAGCAAGGATCAAGACATGGCAGGTAATGGAGCTCTCATGGTAGAATTAATATGATCATTAAGCAAGCACTTACATTTACATGATCCTTTCACGTTTGCTCCTGCAACTCTTGTCCAGGGGGGATCTGGGTATGCTAGGAGGATCTTCTTCTTTGAAATCACAGTCACAGAAGTGGATATCCCTATCATCATTGATCAGTATTACTGCCCCAGCGGGAATTGCCCAAATAAAGTAAGAAGGCTGAACTAAATTAATCAACACAGTGGCTTTATTTTCTGAATATTAATGTAATTAACAAACTAGCTAGATTGACGATATTGAATGTGTTTGCTTGTTTGACTTGGAATGATGATGAAGACCTCAGCAGTTGAAGTGAGTGATGTGACTTACAATGGAATTCGTGGGTCTTCAACCAAGGAAGATGTTATCAGTCTTTGTTGCAGCGAGACTGTTGCTTGCAGAAACATTGTAATGAACTTCGTTAACCTAACATCAACAGCTCCAGGAAAAGAAGCTCGCTCCTACTGCTTAAATGCTCATGGAAGATCTATACATACAAATCCTCCTGTACATTGCCTAGTAAGTAACTATGCTATTGCTTAATCTGTTTCTAGAGGGGAATGCCAAAGAGAGTTTTGGGTTTGGCTTGGTTTAGATTTGGCAATTTCTGCCTTCCTTTTTATGCGTCCTTTATCATGTCCGCAATCAAATATTTGAAATTCTCTCTCTTTGATTTTCTCTTCTCTGCTCTTCTCCAAATTAGCAAGGAATTTCACAAAATTTGTTAAGAATTTCCCTTCAACTTTTTGTTTCTCTCTTATTTTATATCAAACCAAACAGCCTTAAGTTTTTTTTTTCTTTTTTCTTTACTCAAAAAGTGTTGTATATGCAGCCAACAAAGAGGAGATGGTGATTCTCGTGGGGTAGGAATTAAAGTTTTATACCTTGGACACCATGATTTCAGAGTTGAAACTGATGGATTAAGCATGGATGTTAGTTTATCTCTTTAAACCCAGGTAAAATCATGGGTGCAGGTACAAAGACCTATTTTTGGTGTAAACAGGGTTCCACATGGTTGAATTGGGAATTGAAGTCATAGATGGATGTCATGTACCAAGAAGCTTGATGTTTTTAAAGTTCAGCTTGAACAGAAATTGAGGGAACAGGATAAATGGTTTTATATTAGTCAATTAGTCAAGTTCAATGAGGTATACTATTCTAGAAGTATAATGGACCAGTTGGACATGGGAGTACTTACAGTTAGAGCCTAAACTGTCTAGGTGTAAACAGGCTCTGTTTCTTGCCTCCAGTCCTATATCATCTCCTCCATTTTCTCCCTGTTCTCAATACATCTTTTACTGTTAAAAGGTCTAAAATTCATTATCGGCATGCCCACAAGAGAGAGTAGGGCCATAGGATGTGGAGTGCATGAAAAGACACAAAACTGTAGTGCACTAGAATACAATCCACAATCTCTTGTAAAGGTCCCTACCCTAGGAACTCTCCCCAATACAAAGCATCCTCCTTACACTACCACTAGCAAGACTGACTGCTAGAGCATCCACCAAACTAGGAATCCAAGTGACTGTTCACCGTCTGATATAATAATATAACGTCCAGGCCAGCAGGCCCTTTCATAAACAGTATTCATCAAGAGTACCAAAGTGACTCACAATGTATATTAGTAACATTCCACCTCCACCCTAGCAAATTCCAAGGCAAACACCAATACAAGTGCCAGCTGAAAAGTGGCCAAAACCTCTTATGATCAAATTATTGGAGCCTACTGTCTGTGAGAAGACTAATACAGTCTCTCCCATCCCAAGGAAACACAAGTCAAGTTTGAACCCAATCACCCCTGGAGGAAAAAAGAAAACAGATAGGGTGGTAGGGATGCTGGTGTCTATTTATCTGAAAAAATTGAGTCATGTCCAGTTAAGGGTGACCCAGTTCAATCCATTTATAATTGAACAAAAATACGGATCCACGTATCTATTAGTAAAATCAGTTTGAATGTTACCTATTCACTAAATAGTCAAAGATTGAAGTATTAAAGATGAAGGAACCTAAAATGTTTTGATCTTTTAGTTTAACTTATTAATAGAATCCAACATCTGGAATCAACCAGAATTTGATCTGAATCTAATCTAAAATCTAATGGATAAGATTTTCTTAAAATTTGGTTTCAGGTGAATCTTTTTTTTTTTTTTTGATCAATAACAATAGCTTTATTAAGAAACAAAGCCAAGAAAGGAATAGGGAGAGATAAGCTCTCTTAGCTCTCCCATAAAGGTACAAGCCGAAAAACAAGAAAATTAGCAATTATAGTTGAGCCCAAAATTAGGCTCCAGGTATATCTGATTTGATCCATGCAACTTATTGCCCTATAGGGTGGTGATTCAAAGACCTGATTTGTCTATGCATCTAGGGCCATGCAACAATCTGCTATCTCCTATGATATCCACAGAAAAATCCCTAAACTCATCTCTGGTCAAGGCTCAAGATACAACAAGCAACCTTTGTAGTAAACTTTACAGCCTTCTCTGGAGTATCAGTGAAAATCCTAAAACTCTGGTCCTCCTAGGTGCTCCTTAATATGCTGCCTGTGAACATCTCTACATTATATTCCCTTCCCTGGTAGGTTGGTAGGTATAGGATGTTGGGCTAAAACATACTTAGAAAATCAATAATGGGTTGCCAGAATAGGATGCTGGTAGGTATAGGTTGCAAATTCAATATTTTGCAGCAGTATTGGATAAGAAAAATAACCATTTATTTTTGAACTGGCCAATTCATAGGTTGTCTCTTTGTAGGCTTACAACATCAGCTATAGCATTGTTGTTCTAATTTCCAAGTTTCCTGGATTCTTCTAATTTTGAACCACCAGAGAGAAATGCTTTGGAGAAACTTAAAATAATAGAAAACCATGGTAAATTTAGGACAACCGGTATGGATAGGCATGTCTCTGGCATTTCCAGCTTCCAGGAAGAAGATTTTGTCTTGATGGATGTGGATGTGGTCAGACTATTCCACACAAGAAAAAGGAAAACAAAAAAACCAGAAATAATCTGTAGAAAAATACGATTAGAATATTCATCAGAATTTTATCATCTTAACACTCAATTTCTCCAACAATAAGCAAAGCCCAACAGAATTAGGTACATTGTGTGAACATGAAATAGATAGAAAGAGAGAGAGATACAAAGATACCTGTGAATCAAATGTTGCTGATGTGCGACTGAGAGAGAGACCGCAATAGAGAGAGATTTACCTGCCAAATGTGACTGTGTGCGAGAGATTATGAACTTAAAACTTCTATTTAAATCAACTTAGACAAAGAACTGAGATTATGAACTCTATCAAGGGTAAATAGATTTGATTCTCATCATTTTTTATTAGAAAATGGAATGAGTGAATAGTACACTAAAAAAATTGGTGAACAATTTAGTAAGAATCAGCAAGTATACTGAGATAACCCAAGAACCAAGTGTCAATCACAAATCTATAAAATGAAAAGAATAACGAAGCGTTAGAAATTAAAATATCAACTGTCAGATAAGAACCAATATGAAACAGAGAGATATAATAAAAGTTGGGGTAGGTTAAGTCAATAAAATCATGTCATATTGTTTACTGCTGGATCTGGATCTGGATAAAAACTAATATCAAGTCGGTATATCACTACTTGAGAGAATGAATCCTCAAGACATCTTCGTGATTGATCGATTGTAGAAAAAAAACACCACCAGATTACAGAAAAAAATAATAAAAGTTCCAAAAAATTTACGGTGCCTTAGTTTGATAAAAACAGTTTGATTCTTCTATTTCCCCCTTTTCTTGGGGTCTTGAGCCCTAAAATTTTGAAGTATCATTCATGGATACATGAATTTGAAAATTCTAGAAATCTAACCTCAAGTCTCTATTGGCAAACTACTAGCGTTCAACACAAATAGGATTTTATTTGTATCCATGCCCGATGAAAATGAAAACCTAACTTTTTCATTTAGAAGGAACAATATAAGGAAAAAAAAAAAAAAGCAATGTCAAATTACCGACGGAAAAGTTTTTCTTAACCTGGAATGGGAATAACCTGAGATAGATCAAAAGTTGAGGAAAGTTTATCATATACGGATGAAGGTTTTTTCCAGATATTGATTATAGTATCAAGAGGGAAGGTGGATGATAGTGAGATAGAGAACTAATTATTAGGTGCTCTGTACTCCACTAACAGACTTGCTCCTAATATCTTTCAAATGTTGAAGCTTGACCTCTTTACAACTCTGGCACTAAGGTTAGAACACAGCCGGTATTCATACTCAAACAAAAAGCAACAAAGCAAAACGAAGCATGCTCATGCTTACCAAGAAAAAGGCGGAAATCATTAGGGTGAAAACTGTGATTAGCTCTTTTCCATATGCAATTATTGAGTCACTATCAAACCAAATAAAAAATTCTGAGTTGGAGAATTACCTTCGTCTCTACGAGTGAAACATGATTGGGGCAGCCAAAACCCATGCTGTTGACACTACTGTTGCCGATTGTGCTGTCCGGTGGATAGCACAGAGAAACCGATAAAAAACACTTGATCGGGTTAGGTCAATCGCAGAGAGAGAGAGGTGTTAACCTTGCTCAGATGCCGTCTGTTAACACCGGCGTCGCAAAGTACTGCCAGGAGAGAAGTTGGCGGAGCTCCAATTGAAAGAGGGAGAGAAATAGAGAGGGCGGGAAGAGAGTGATAGAGACTATAGAGAAGGCGGGGAAGTGAAAAAAGGGGAAGAGGAAGAGGAAGAGCGTACTTTCTTCCGGCAATATTTTATAGCGGCAGTTATAATTGACTGCCGCTGCAACTATTATTTTTAGCCGCAGCCCCTTATTACTATCCGCTAAGCATTCCTACATACTGTTATAAAGCTTAAGCTATCTACAAAGCGATGAATTGTAATTACAGATTGCTTCATGAAATAGATATTGCAAAATAAATTATTTGAAGAAGTACGGATTTGTCCAATGCAGATTTATGATTTTCACTGCAGATTTATAAACATTCAAAAGGTGAACAATTAACACTTTATGCACCCACGCTCGTCCATGAATTGGCATTAATTCTAAGCTGGCACATACCCCTTTGAACCTATAAATTCTAATCCTTGGGCTAAACTGTCATTTTCCAAAAATTATGACTCTTGACCCACACAAGTGCAAAATTAAAATGCAAATAAAAAAAGAAAAAAAAACTCCTGACCCACATGAGTATAAAACTTTGCAAGTATAAAATTTGTTAAGTCAATGGTTGCATTGCCATTGGTATGTAGATTTAAACTTATTGCAGATGTTGGTCCAAAAATGCATTCACTAAGGCCAAGTATGAAATTGAATGAAAAGGACCTGTTAGACAAAAAGGAGGGTCCAAGGGGAAATGGTTGAGCTCAAGCCCAAGATGGTGGCCCAAAAAATGCATTCATTAAGGCCAAGTATGAAATTGAATGGAAAGGACCTGTTAGACAAAAAAGAGGGTCCAGGGGAAAATGGTTGTTATTGTAAGTCAATAGTTGCATTGCCATTTACAATAACAACCACCAATTTAAGGGATATTCTTTGGTATGTAAATTTAAACTTATTGCAGATGTTGGTCCAAAAAATGCATTCATTAAGGCCAAGTATGAAATTGAATGGAAATGACCTGTTAGACAAAAAAGAGGGTCCACGGGGGAAATGGTTGAGCTCAAGCCCAAGATGGTGTAGGGGTGGGATCCATTGTAAATGGGCATTAGTTCCATGCCACATTGGTATCCTTAAGCATCCCACTAAATTAAATGTAAGAATTGAATATTGATGTAAGGCTCACTATATGTAAATTAGAGAGATTTTCTCTTTGATCACATTAAATTAGAGTGCTTCTTCCAAATCAAGAGATTCTCTAAAAAAAAAAAAAATCAGCTTAGTGGGGGCCATTTAAAAGGCTATAATTACTCCAAAATTARTTGAGGAAAATCATGGCTGGATAAATTACTTTTATGTGTGAGATCCAACTAAAAAAAGGCAAAAACTAAAGACACCCAATTATCTCACATTAGCATAATAGGAAGAAAATAACAAAATATTATAAAGTTGGCAATGAGAAAAATTTTCTCTCAAATCATGCCAAATTTGAGGGTTCACTCAAAGGATTTATTCAAGTGAAACCCAATTGAATGGCAACCACACATTAAGTGATGGGTCCATAGAAAAGGGAACATGGTTAGCTAATGGATATAAGAAGGACTAGCCTAATCGGATTAGGGGAAATCCTTATATGTGTGGGATCAACCCTTTGCCAAGTGGCCTCTTTAGCAAGGCCCACCAATCAATGTTGATCGGATTAACTCAATTTTGGTGGAAAGGATCATGTTTAGAATTGGACAGGGCATCTCAAGTTAATCTTGTGGGCCCCCTCTAAATTAAATAAAAATGAAAGGAAGTCACCATGTCAAAGGATTGGCTTTCCTTCCAAATACGATTTTAAATGCATTTGAATGGAGTTGGGCGAACTTATAAAAGGGGGAATGGGATGAGAGGGGCTGACCCCTTGGAAGAGGAGAGCATGTTCTTTTACAAAAAAAAAAAAAAAAGAAAGAAGATAAAAAAAATAGAGAAGGAAAGGAGATGAGTCTAGCTCCCACGTTGCTATTAAAGTTTCAAGTTAAATGTTGTTAGCCACGTGTGTAAGGTTTTAAATTTCGATACGGGATTCGCATGAAAATCGGACGTTTCGCCTTTTTTCGTGCATATTGGGGGTGTATCGATAGCGTATCGACAAAAAAACATACAGTTAAAAACTAAAAAAAATGGGAAAACAAGTTTCTTTTCCCCAAAAAAAGCTTCTTTCACCCCCAAATGACTCTAAAACTCCAAACTCTATTTCTAGAGTGTTAGATTTGCAAAAGTTTGCAAGAAACAATTGTGAATCGTTATTTTTTTTAAAGATTTTTCAAATTAAAAATGGCAAAAATAGGTAAATGTTTTCAATTTTTTATAATATCTTGTGATTCCTTTTTTTTTCTTGAATGTTTAAATTTATGTTGATCTACATTTCTTACTTTCAAAATCACAATTGTTTTGTGTTATCAATAGATTTATGGAAATTTCATGAAGATATTTGGGGAAAATATAAATTAACAAAAAATTTGAAAATGTAATTATTTCTCTGCCTATAAAGACTAAATATGTTTTAGATCTATGTGTTTATCTATCATATCCATAGAGCAATTTAAATTTATCCTTTAATATTTTTTTTTATTTTTTTATATTTTTAGAATTAAAAAATAAACAATAATTAATTATATTCTATCGTTTGATCACAACAATTGAATATATTATAATTCTATGCATATTCACAGACCAATTGAAATTTCTTCTTTAATAATTATTTTTTTTATTTTTATATTTTAGAGTTAAAAAATAATTAATTAATTATATTTTATCATTTGATCACAATGATTGAATCTATTATAATTCTATGGATGATCTATCATATCCACAAAGAAATTGAAATTTCTTCTTTAATAATTATTTTTTTTATTTTTATATTTTAGAGTTAAAAAATAATTAATTAATTATATTTTATCATTTGATCACAATGATTGAATCTATTATAATTCTATGGATGATCTATCATATCCACAAAGAAATTGAAATTTCTTCTTTAATAACTATTTTTTTGAATATATTATATAATATTTATTTATTTTTATAATTTTTTGAAATGAATAATAAATAATAATTATTTAAATAATAAATAATTATTAATTATATTTTCACATAGAAGTTGTGACAATGCATGTTTTGTGGTTGGATAGGAGAGTTGGGTTTTTCTCATCCCATAAAACATTAAAACTTAAGAATTATAATTTATAAAATATAGTTAAGCATAGGATTTTAATGAAATTATAATTAGCTACAATATATTTCTTCATAAAACCATTAAAATGTATTAGTTTAATGTATATACACCTCACTGAGGTCTTATATTTAGTGTTTTTGATGAATTTTTATGATTTATTAAAGTATTTAAAGTGTTTCCAACCGTATCTATGTGTATCTTAATTTTCTCCGATACACATGCATATCCAAGGTGTATCCCGATACGTCTCTTAAAACTGCCTTTCTAATACACTTAGCATTTATGATACTTTGAACCTTGGCCATGTGCATGTCAAGAGGCATGCTCAACTGAAAATCATTCTCTCCATCTTCGGTTCTCTATTCAGCTTCCCCCCTTCGGCTCCTCAATTCTACTCCATTGGCTCCATTTCTTTTGACAAGAAAAAGGAAGGGATGGCTACATCTAAATCAAGGAAGGAAGAACCAAAACTTCATCTCTTGAACCACTGAAGATTTAAAGCTAGTACAACTCCATGCTACATTAGTTTGGGGATTTCGATCTTCAAATTCTCACAAACAAAAGCCGTCTGTCAATTTACTACAAAAATCAAAATCTTTTGTCAAATTCTTTCAGCCAAGGAAACTTCCATCAAGTTGCCACATCCAAAAGAAAAAAAAAATCTCTTACAAGTAAAGGTATTCCATTCTTATTCTAATAGTTGATTGATCGTGAGAAAAATTTTGTCAGTTGTTGTTTGTTTCTCATAATCATGAGTTATTGCAGTGACTTCGGATTTTGTCCAAGACAAGAGAATTAGAGGGTGTTCTTCAACAAAAAGAAGAAAAAAAACATTTCTCAACAAAAAAAAAATCTCTTTGGATTTGTCTTCATTATTCCTTGTGCTCCAAATTTAGCATGAAATTTGTGTCGACAGTGGAAACCTCTAGCTTCTACGTTTCGATCTATGGTATTTACTTACATGAAATTTGAGGCAAGGTAGTTTCCTTGCCATTTCCTCAGAAAATGGCCCAACCAAATAGGAAATTCAAACCTCTACCAAAAAAATAAGGAAGTTCAAACTGTTAGGGTCAAAACACCAACACACCACCACCATGTCGATATTTTGTTCTCTTGGCTTTGAATATTGCATCTTTCTAGAGGGAAATGCTTAAGATAAATTAGTATTGGTGTTTATGTTTTGTACTTCAACATTTTTTAGGGCCCATTTGATTCACATCTAGAATCAGAATCGGAATGATCTATTCGTATAGTCTGTTTGGTTCAGACAGGGATGGGGATTAGAATAAGCAGAAATGGGATTTCAGTCCCAAAGGAGGGGCAGAGAATGACCATTCCCTTATATGGGGGAATACTATTCCAGTAGGAATGGAAATGGGATTTTGGTTCCACTCAACCAAATAGTTGGAATCGAAATATCCCGTTCCAATTCTGATTTCAGATTCCTATTCCTGCAAACCAAATGGGGCCTTAATGTTTTGGTGCCATTTGCAAAAGTATTGTAAGATAAGATGGTCATTCCCGCTCAATTTACTTGGTTTCTTTGTATGTATAATAGTTAGAGGTGCTCATGGTTTAGTTAATCAATCATAGGCTATTTTTTGAAACCAATACTATCGGTTTTTATAATTCGCTGAATCACTATCACCTATTTAAAACTGGTTGACTGGTTTCGATAGGTTCACTTTTTCAAAAACCAAATCATTCCTTTGGTTTTTGAAAAATACTGAATTGAAGCTGAATCGATCAATTTGATTAACTGCATATCTTGATTCAATTTTCTTGATTCGATTCATTTTTTGGTTTTTTATGACCACCCTTAAAAGCAGTTGAACCTGACCTTGCTGTCTACTTCAGTAGTTTATTTGCTTCATTTCCGTGTCTAATCGGAAGGAGTGCAACTCGAATTGGCCCAAATTAACATATTACACTGCTCCAAACTTGGGCCTTCGGGACAGGCTCATTCAAAATTTGACAAAATCCCAACCCGAACCCACCCAAATTGTATTTGTCTATTCTTGTTATCTGGTCTTTTTGGATGTACCATGAGCATTATGACAATGAAGACTTTAAAAAATTCAAAGGAAACTGAATGCAATCAAACATGGGCGGCTCTCACCTAGTTTTAGTTCTGAATGATCAATATCCGAGCAGTTCCAGATTTTCTCCTAAGGCTTAGTTTGGAACGAGTACAAATACAAATATGTACTGTGCAAATACATATAAAATACAAGATTTTGCACAGTACATATTTGTATTTGTACTCCTTCCAAACTAAGCCTAAGTGTTGTTTTGTATATCTGCCTACTTTGAGTGAGAAGAAGGGCTTGTAATGAGCTCTTCATTCATTTAGGTTTGGGGGGCTGGAGGTCTTAGTGTGCATTAAAAAATTTCTCAGTTAATAAATGGATAAGTTTGTCAATTTATATCGAAAATTTGGCTTTTATACATTTGGGACATAGAATTAGGGAATTTGATTCACCTGATCTGGCAGAAAGATATAAGGGTAAGTTTATTTTTGGCTGATTTAAGTGCAGTGGATTTTTAGGAATTAAGAAGCGATATCCATGATTATGAGGCCATTAAAAAGTGAGAATAAAAGATAAGACATGCACTAATCTAGACATAAATACCATACCAAAAATAACAAGCTTCGCATAATCAATAGATCCTACAAGTTCAAAGCCTGCTATGCTATATTGCTATATATACATGACATGGGAAACAGGTTTCATTGTGACAGTTTTATTCGTTTTACAGCTTAAATGGTAATCTCTTTTATTCCTAGCTACTACTATTATTTTTTTGCTACCAACTACTATGATAATCAGATTTATTGTCATGATTTTGGTTGCAGGAGTTCTTCACTACTCTTTTGATCACCTTGTGTGCAATTTTGCCTGTATTGAGTAGTAGATTAGCTGCTGGAGCATCAAATTCATTTGATGTGGTAAATTATGGAGCCGTTGGAGATGGCAGAACTGATGATTCCAAAGTAATTAACCCTATCTATTTACACTCAGTACAATTTTAGCATGTGTGTGTGGTATAAAAGGAATGGTGTATGTTTAGCAAATACCCCCGCTAAGATACTTAGGCTGAGTTTGGAAGGAGTACAAGTGCAAATATGTAGAGTGCAAAACCTTATATTTTGTATGTATTTATGCTGTATATATTTGCATTTGTACTCCTTCCAAACTGAGCCTTAGGAGCTATTCTACTATGTTTTTTATTTTTCTTTTTGAAAATAGGCATTTTACTATGTGAATTGTTTTCCTTGTTTCCGATTTCAAAAACAAATCAAAACCATCTGCTTTGAAAATAGTTTGTTTCTCAAAGCAAAAACACAAAAAAAATGTTATCGGTTGTCTATGTGGTTTTGTTTTCAAAACTGAAACCAAAAACATGTTCTTAAATTTCTAGTTTCAAAAATTTATTTTCATCTGGTTTTTTAAGACCATGCATTTCTATATATAGATCATATAATTTTTATACTACAAAGTTTGTTTTTGTTTCATTGACCATTATTTTGATGGCTCCAAAAAACATATATTGCTTTTTGAAACAAAACCAACTTGTTTTTCCCTTTGAAAAAAAGTCAGAATTCAATAAACATGTTTTTTTTTTTTTTTGCTACTGATGTGGTAATTTCATAATTAAGCAATGAAAACAAAATAACATTTATGTTGTAGATTGAACACCCCTACCAAATACAGAGATGGTGCATGGCAGTCAGTTCAAGGGTGGAATTGATCGTATGTTTTTCAATCAATCAGTTTCAGGCAAGGTTTTTGAACCGCTGTTGATCCGGACGGTCGGACCATTTGGCCCGAGAACCGTTCAGGCAAGTGGTTCCGTTTTATCCCAAATTCGGTTTTTAGTAAAAAACCGTTGAAAAAGTCAACAATCCATTAACCTGGGCGGTCAAACCATTAACCTATCGATCAATTCAATGATTTTTGACTGTTTTTTATTTTTAATTATTTTTTACTTTTTTAATTTATTTATCAAAATAGGTCGTCCGTTCGAACTGGTGGCTAGAATGGTTCTATTTTCAGGTCGTTTTTTAAAACGTTGGTTTCAAGGGTAAAGTTAATCCGGCCATCAATTAGTCCCTAAACCTTTTACATAGATAAGAATAATGTTGGCTGAGTGAATAACTAGGTGACACAACCAGTCAAACGGTCAAACAATTGGTGTGCATGGTTATCAGGGCATAGATTAGACATTAATTAATTCTTATTTTTTATATTTTTATTAAATTTTGTCAGTGATAATAATAGTTTTCATATATATATATATATGTTTTTTAATTTGTTTAATATGATGAATATGTAGTATAAGAGATATTCAATTTTCTTCAAACATTTTGTAATGTACTATTATTATTATTATTATTTTTTTATATAAATTTATGATGCTATAGATTGACCCATCTAACCTACAATTGAACCACTGACCTGCCACCAAGCCGAGGAAAAGTAGTTCGATTTTCAGGTTATTTTTTAAACAAGGGGCAAGCGTTTACAAATAGATAGGACTGTATTCCAATTTATCATCCCCTTTGTTAAATATGAAAACACCTTTTATAGGTGGGCCCTCAATTATTTTAAGATTGATACAATGGTCCTCCCAAATAGGGTTTGTAAATGGTATCCGTTTCTCTGAATTTGAATTTGTATCTCATCTGATCATGGACCAAATTAAGGAAGAGAGTTGCATCATGTTGGTATCCGGCACTAAAACTTGTCAAACTCAGATTCCCGATCTCACAAGTCCAATCTGTTTATAATTGGATCAAAATATGGACCCCGCCCACAGCAATGTAGTCCCATAATATTCAAATGTTTATACCTATGCCTACATATAAAATAATATTCATCTATATCAATAAAGTTGGTTTGAGTTTATAATTCTACCAAAGAGACATATTTCTGATAGAAGTTATTTTTATGTCATGTATTTTAATTTAATCTTAAGACTTACCCCTGTAAGTGCATTTATCCATGTTCTTTTATTTTTCATGTAAATAAGGAAATGATCATTTTATCCATAAAAATCCATTATTAAAAAGGACATTTTTGTTTTGCTCAGCTGTTGCTAATTTTCCCCCTTGGTGGGAAAATTATTTACCCACCTAGGAGCAGGAAAATAAACTTTCCCTGATCCCCACATAAATCTGAAAAAAGAACAAGGGGTTCTTGGTCAATGGGAACCAAAATCCCATTAACCAACTTTCCTCCTCTCAAAATCTGAAAAAAGTACACCCCCTAAGTGGTATTCAATTTCCAAATCTGATGGATAAGATTCACTACAAATATTAATGGCTCGAATTTAGATTGAGATTTATCTGATTCATCAATTGAATCCATTTGCAACTATATTTCTTTTTCTTTTCATCCAATAAAAATTAAACCTAATATTTTCTGGTATCGTGAGCAATTGGGAAGGCTTTCTTGAATGCATGGGAAGCGGCATGTGGAGATGCTTCTGGTTCCCCCACCCTCATCATACCAGCCATGAAGACGTTCTTGTTGCATCCGGTGGAGTTCATTGGTCCCTGCAAGTCCAATAATGTTTATGTTCAGGTAAACCTACTGATCAAATTGCTAGTGTTTCATCATATTAGTGAGGTTCCCTTTGATTAATCTGGACTTCTTAGATCCTTTCCATGGCTTCAATGGAAAGTTCTTTTCATAAGTTAATTAATCAAAAAGAAAAAAAGGGTTGACCTACAGACTACAGACTACTGACCTAGTTCTAACTTTATCTGGGTTAACTCACAATGTTATCTTTCTTGAATTTTATTTTATTTCTACTTACCTGACAACTTCCAATTCACCTTCACTAGGGTGAGATTACATCTCCGCCCCACAACGCCGCACAGCATAACCTCGCCGTGAATTGGGAACATCTCCACTAGATGATGACATTATCAGTTCTAGTACCACCATCGGGGATGTTCCCAACACATGGCGACATGGCGAGAATGTGCTGTGAAGCGTTGTGGGGCGGAGTGAATTCCACTAGGGTGCACTATTTGCAGTTTTCATCGAATGTTTGTTTAACCAGAGGGTCAAACAAACTAAAATCATTTGGACAGATTTTTGTGATCCAATCAATCATTTTTTTTTTTAAGATAAATGGAATATTACGAACTGATCAGCCTCTCATCTGACTAGGATTCCTTTGCCAACAAACAGCCATTAACACATGAGAATTTCAATTAGAAAAATGCATGTAAATAACCACTTATATTAATCAAGAACATATTGTAAGTAGAAAAATCTCTTTCACCCAAACCGCCACAACGCAACGCTGTTGTACAAAACACGGATCCACAGATGTTAAAAAATTTTTCAAGTGCTCATTGAATTATGCATGTACCATCATTTTTCTAGTAGATGGAAATTATATTTACACAGTGGTGAAAGCAGGTTCTAGGGAACATAATCTCACCCAGTGACAAATCAGCTTGGAGTGACTCCACAATGGGTAAATGGCTTTCCTTCGCGCATGTAAATGGTCTCACCATCAATGGACCAGGATATATCGATGGCCAGGGTTCTACCTGGTGGAAACAATCATGCGAAAACAACGAGTTATATGTATGTAAAATATTTTCATTTTCATTTTCATATCCATTTTTTTCCTTCTTAGTTCTTCATCTTCGTTTTAATTAACTTATCTGGGTAACTGTATTTTTCAGGCAACGAAATGCCAACGACCAACGGTAAGTGCAAATTCTTTTAATTCCTCCTTTCCTTTAGCAGAGGGCCAGAGGGCTATTGTCTGAACACCAAACAGGTCTTCTGAAGTGCCTATATATAAGTGTGTGTTTGGTGATGGTTCAGGCACTACTCTTTAACCAATGTAACGGGCTTCGAGTAGATGGGCTGCATCACGTCAACAGCGCGAAGAATCATATCTCTATACACAGCTGCAATGATGTAACTTTGAACCAACTCAAAGTAACTGCCCCAAAAGACAGTCCAAACACAGACGGTGTTGACATATCCAATTCCACCTATGTTAGAGTCATGAACTCTGACTTTGAAACGGGTAAGTTAATTCCTTCTTTTTCATTTCCATTTGGTTATGTTGAAGCATGGATAACCAGATCGACTGTTTTATTTTTCTTTTCTGCCATAGGTGATGACTGTATTGCTATTAATTCTGGCTCCTCCTTCATCAACATCACTTATGTCAACTGTGGACCTGGTCATGGGATAAGGTTTGTGCAACCCCATTTTGGTTCAGTAGTTCCTGGAAAGATCAGTAGTTTGGTAGTGTGGGGAGCTTGGGAAACAGTAAAATATGCTAAACAGTAAACCTGTTATTCTGTAGTGTGGGGAGCTTGGGAGTATCAGGATCTTATGCCACTGTGGAAGAAGTACATGTGGAGCACTGCAATTTCTTTGGAACTCAGGCTGGAGCAAGGATCAAGACATGGCAGGTAATGGAGCTCTCATGGTAGAATTAATATGATCATCTAGCTGCAGTTATAATTCATGGTCGTTTAATTAATGTTTGCTTCTGAAACTGTCGTCTGTCCAGGGGGGATCTGGGTATGCCAAGAGGATCTCCTTCAATGCAATCACAGTCAAAGAAGTGGATCACCCTATTATCATTGATCAATATTACTGCCCTCATGATAAGTGCGAAAATACAGTAAGAAGGATGAACTATGTTTACACAGTGGTTCTTTTTTTTTTTTTGTCTGAAACATGCATGTAGCTAACTAAATGATGATCTTGGGATGACAATGAAGACCTCAGCAGTTGAAGTGAGTGACGTGACTTACAGTGGAATTATTGGATCTTCAACCAGCGAAGATGTTATCAGTCTTCGATGCAGCGAGAGTGTTGCTTGCACAAACATTGTGATGAACTACGTTAACATAACAACAACAGCTCCAGGAAAAGAAGCTCGCTCTTACTGCTTAAATGCTCATGGAAGTTCCAAAAATACAAATCCTCCTGTATCTTGCCTATAGTAATTATGCCCGTGGTTATCCTGGTTCGATCAAGAAGAGATGTACTACATTAAGAGTTTAGCTAGGCATGGATGTAATTTCTGTGTTGAATAATGCATGTAGTCCTTTAGCAGGCTTTCCTCTGCCGTTGTTAATTAGAAGTCTATATCATCCCTGTTTTGGGTTCTTTATCATGTATTTTAAATCAGTGTTTTAAAAGTCGTGAGAGGCATATGCATGGGACGTGCACCCAAAATGACTTGACGCGTATGCCAGAGGCGCTAGCTGACACCTCTGAGGTATGTCTCATACGCTTTCTTCATGAGGCGTGTTAGAGAGAGGCATATGCATGGGACGTGCACCCAAAATGACCTGAGGCGTATGCCAGAGGCGCTAGCTGGCACCTCTGAGGTATATGTCTTATAAGCTTTCTTCATGAGGCGTGTTAGAGAGAGGCATATGCATGGGACGTGCACCCAAAATGACCTGAGGCGTATGTCAGAGGCGCTAGCTGACACCTCTGAGGTATATGTCTCATAAGCTTTCTTCATGAGGCGTGTTAGAGAGAGGCATATGCATGRGACGTGCACCCAAAATGACCTGAGGCGTATGCCAGAGGCGCTAGCTGACACCTCTGAGGTGTATGTCTCATACGCTTTCTTCATGAGGCGTGATAGAGACGACGTATGTCTCCTGCACCTCATGCACACCTCATATAAAAAGATAGAAAAAAAAAGAAAAAAAGGAAAGGAAAAGAAAAGAAAGGGAAGGAAAGGAAAAGAAAAAGAAAAGAAAAGGAAGGGAAAGAAAAAGAAAGAGAAAAAAAAAAAGAGAAAAAGAAAGAAAAGAAAAGATAAGGGAAAAAAAAGTAGTCTGCCCTTAGCTCCCAGCTCTGCTCCAACGAGTCGCTCACTCGCCTCTGTTTTGACAGGATGACCCCACCTTTCAACTAGTGCTATGCACATTTATTCTTCTTAATTAATATAAAAGATTTTTATTAAAAATAAAGAAAAAATGAAGCCCCCCTTCTTCCTCCTGACCCTCCTCCTCTTAAAGAGGCTCACTCCTCCTTATGTCCATGAGGTGTATGCCTCTTACATTCTGAACTACGCCTCATATCATGCCTTCGCTATTTTAAAACATTGTTTTAAACCACTCAAGAAAATTTACAATTATTGATCTCTTTGATTTTCTCTCTATACTAATGTTTTCTTCTCCAAATTAACATCCTATTACAAAAAAAAAAAAAGCGCATTCAACCCATGGTCATTAAACTGTGCTATGAGCTTAAATGATACATATAATATTTAAGAGTAATAGTGAATCATCCCATTAATTTCCTCTAACGTTTTCATATGCTTGTATGACCAAAATTTTTCAATACATATCTATCAAGGCTTAAATTCCATCCATTGTTGGGATTCAAGTGTGAGTGTATGAAATGGTGATCGAGAATTCCACACTGGAAAAAGAATATGCAAGATACTTGTATACAAAGATTTGCCAACTCGTGTATTCAAGCTCTTCGATTTTGACAACTCCCCTCAATGCACAACAGTGGCATGCAGTTGAAAATTCAACTGGACACAAATCACCTAATGGCTTAAGCTTTTGGATTAATGGTTGTGTCTAACTCTTGTGTATAAGTACTATATGCCTGTGCATAAACACCCCAGTTTTGATGACTCCTCTTGATGCACAATATCTAGTCCTTACCTTTCTTACTAAGCATTAAGTAATTTGTCTATCAACTAGGCCAATACGAAGGCCATGTTTGGGAGTGCTTATGTGAAAACTAAGGGCTTAGTGAATGTGTTTTTTCGAATAAGTACTTATTTGCATTTGACACTCAAGTTTTTCAAGTGCTTATTTTAAAAAGTAAGCACTTATTTCATATTGGGTGTTTGGTGGTCTTTTTCTCCAATAAGCACTTATTTATTCAAAAAGTCGACTTTAACCCTCATTTTGGCTTGTTATGTTTTTCTTTCCTTTGGTTCCACCAAACTTTCTAAAATGACCAAATTACCCCTTGGGATAAGATTGATGTGTTATCCACTTATTAATGACTATTTTTCCTTGCAAAAAATAAATTTTCCAAAATGACCCCTCGGGTTAGAAATGATGTGCCTATTCACTTATTAATAATTTTTCTTGTCAACTAATAAAATTTCCAAAATGACCAAACTACCCCTGGGTTATAAATGGAGTGCATATTCACATATTAATGGTTTTTTCTTGCCAACAAATAAACTTTCCAAAATGACCAAACTACCTCTCAGGTTTGGTATCGTATTGATATCGGACCTCACCGGCACAAGATACATCACGACTGGACACATATCCTGCTAGTCGTGCATATTAGTCCGATACATTATCGCGTCGGATCATATCATATAGTATCGGGCGATACAGTCCGATACGCACCAATATGACAACGTACAACACCTTCGTCTAACAACAATGAACTTGCGTCTCTGGCGTTATTCAAACCAAAGAACTGAAATCACCCAATGATCAACAGCATATACCTTTTCAACCACCAAGCCACTTTCAAATTCTTGATAATAAATGAAATACATTAACCTTATAAACATTAAAGTCTACATGCAATCCAAATAAACAATATATACTAATATTAATATTCAACAACTCCAACTATAAATTAAAAAGAATAATTTTCAAAATTAGTATTTTATGAACCAATGGAATAAATAATTTATCAAATCTACATATATACAAAAAAAAAGATTTTTAATTTCAAGAAATTTATATAAATAAAAATATTAAAAATAGAATAATTATTTTAATACTTAAAATTTATAAATTTTCACATTATATTATATTCAAATCTTTAGAAATTATTAATTAATATTTTAATTTTCATTAAATAACAATGTATTTATTATTTACAAGGATAAAAATATTATTTACAAAATATTTGTGAATATAGCATAAATTGAATTGGTAAATTCCACTAATCTAATTATATATTAAATATTATTTATATTAAATATTATATATATATATATCAAAATATATTTAAAATATTATTTATATTTTAAAATTTTTTCTTTATTTTAAGTAGTTTTTTCAAAAAAAAACTTTCAGTTAAAAAATTTGAGGATTTGAGTCCCTACGAAGAATCTCTCCGTTAGGGATCAGGGATGGAGAGTAATTTTTATCCCCGGTAAGAATTGGGGTTAGCTAGAAATGTGCCTACCCACGAAAAAAGGTCAGTGATAGCTACCTCCACTTAAAAAAAAAAAACACATTTCAAATGATGTAGATCCATAAAATGGGTTATTGTTTAAAAATAAAATTTGATTTAATCTCTTAAAATAAATAATAAATCTATATATCAAAAAATGTATCAAATAAAAAGCTAACCTAAATTTACAATATAAATAATGAGTGTAAAACAAAACTGATTAGAATATGTACTTAGTCCCATACGGGGTTGGTCAACCTGTAAATGTCTATGAATCAGAGAATGTATTATGCAATCATCCATCACTAGAAGCCAAGCCGGCCATACATCCATAACAAAGAGTTCATGCATGCATGGGGTCTTTGTTCTCATTACTCTCCTAACAAAAAATAAATAAATAATTGAATAAATTAATTTTCGTTAGTGTGTAAACAGAAAATGAGGATATTGCACCGGCTACACTTCAAATTAATTTTCTTCTCCAAAATTAAAATCTTACTCATTTAAGGTGTAGTAAAAAGAGAGAAACCCTAAAAAAAGATAGAGGATATTGCACATGCTACATATTTTAAATTCGTCTAAAGCTTATAGCCATAATATCTAGGCAGTGCTAGATTTTATCCCACGTGTTGTGTTTGTAACTGCCTACTGAGTGAGCAGCACGAGCTTGTTCTGAGTTTCACTTAATTTGGGGGAAGGTGGTCTGTGCATGAAAATAAAAGTTCTCAGTTAATTAATGGCGATATATGTATGTTGAAGGTGTGGACTTTGTACACTTGGGCTTCTCTAACAAATTGGATTCATCTCTGGACAATGGAGATGTTCTGAAACATGAATTCATTTGATTTTGAAATTTCCACATCAGCAAAAAATAACACATTCTTGAATTGTTGTGCTTTTGTTTTGAAAAGTAAAAACAAAAACAATTTTTGTATTATATGGATCAAATGAAAATATGTACATTAAACAAAAAGTTCAAAAACATGTTTTTTGTTTCAATTTTGGAAATAATAAAGCACATATATACAACCAAGAACATGTTCTCTGTTTCTTTTTCAAGCAGAAGCAGATGGTTTTGGATGTATATTTAGAATTCACAACAAGAGAAACAATTAAAGAGAACACCCACTTATTAATTGTAGTGAGTTGCTTAGGAATTAAGGAGCAGTATCCGATGGGGAGGTGAATAACGGTTAGAATAAATGAAGAGAATGCCAAGACATGCACTGATCTTGAAGTGAATAACATACCAAAAATAACAGCTCTACACAGAATCAGAGATCTTAATTAGAAGTTCAAAGCCTGAGTACTCCATTATAAATACATGACATGGGAGAGAGGTTTCATTGGGACAGTTTTATTTGTTCTACAGCTACAGCCTACAGCTAAAATGGTAATCTCTATATTACTACGACGTACTACAGCTAAAATGGTAATCTCCATGTTAGGATTATTGAGGTTCCAGAGAACTGCTAACATCCTCCGATAATTAATCAGGTTTCTTATCATGATTTTGATTGCAGGAACTTTTCTCCATTTTCATGATCTTATGCGCAGTACTATTGCCTGCGGCGTCGAGTAGTAGACTAGATGCCGGAGCCTATTTTGATGTGGTACATTATGGAGCCGTTGGAGATGGCAAAACCGATGATTCCAAAGTACACGCTACATATTTATTATACAATTTAATTAAAGCATGTGTGCGTGTGTGAGTGTTTGTTTGTGGTATAAAACATTTTAGGTCTATAAATTGTTTTTTTCTAATGCAACTGTTAAAAAGAAATTAAAAAAAAAAAAAAAAACATGAGCAATGGCAAACACCCCCTGCAAATTAAGGGACATCATCCATCATTCACAAAGCCATACATTCTTTGGTTCTCAAAATAACCAGCAAAAATCAATGTTTTTAACCTCCTATTGATCTGTCACCCTGCTAGGATATATTTC